GAATCGGGATCATATTTGACTCCAGAGTCCAAACACTTGGTCCCCTTTACTGCTTCATTCCCAGGTGTGTTCCATTTTTTTCAGGTCCTACATACACCTGGACAGAGTATATACTACATAGGAGGTTTTACACTGAAACAGATTATATTAAATAGTAGCTAAACAGCACAGCATTTGCTGCAATTTACACACCCCCAACCAGGTCATACTTAAAGCTCCCTTGGGGAAATAGAACCACTGAAATTAATTTGCAAGCCAGCAGCACCCAAGTTCCTTCCTCTCTGTTACATCTGGAGAGGAGCTCTGGTTCTGTCTACAAAGGGGAAATTATTAATTTTTTGGAGTGTCCAATTATTCCTATGACTAAATCTCAAGGGCGTGGGGTGCTTACTGCCCCAAACTCATCATGTCTACATCAGATGAAACTTTTGCAAAGATCCCCACAGGATTAATTCCACAGGATTCTCAAGTTTCTGAAACTGCCAGCATCTTTCCACCGCATTACGTTTGCTGCCCTCTTGCGGGGAAACGGTGCTACTTACAGCAAAAAAGAACAAAAGGACAAATAGCTAGCTCTTGAAAAAAAGAACAGAGTTTACTCTGGCTTCCTTTTTAAAAGAAACTGACCTATCCACTGATCCTTTCTCCTTTTCTATAGCTTGAGTCTTCAAAAGTCCACGTGGTCTCATACTCACTTATTACCTCAAGTAGAGTTTTAAAAACAACACAGGTGGTCTTTTGTGTTTTCTAATTCCTTAAAAATACCACTTCTGGACTCTTGTGGAAGTTTACAAAAGCCATTTGCCTTAAAGAAAGACTCCCTCGACCTCTGCTATGAAAATTAGGTGGGGTTTTATTAGGTTTGGTTTTTCAATGCTTGAACTAAAAGGAAAACTTCAAGCCACACCTAGTACCTCATCTTTCAAAATTGGGGGTGAGTCCCACCTTCCTCCCCTTTATCTTAGAGAGCCCTTGTGAAATCTCTCCTTGTTGATACGCAACCATCAACAAGCCACTCTCCTAATCTGAGCCATTAAAAGCATCCAATAAACGTCTAACTAGGGTTTCCCGGGACCACAGTTCCGTTAATTGGCCAGCACGAACCACAAAGCCCTTGGGAGAGTGACAAGAGCCCTTCTGGACACTGATGCACAGGCTTCTGCAGTTAACCCTCAGCAGCTTGCTCCTGCGCTGGAGCTGCCTTGGGTACCTCCACAGTGCAGTAAAACCTGACCAGTTTCTCAGCATCTAGGTACAGACAGACTTCCCCACCCCCCATTGATTCTGACCCTGAGTTTTCCATCAACCACATGGCCATGCAAAGAGCACAGACACACACACACACCCCACCCCACAATGGAATACAGAGCCTCGCTAGAATGGGAGGAACGTAGGAAAGGAGGGAAGGAAGGAGGAAAGGGATGGTCAAAGTGCTCTGGTGTCCTCAATCTACAAAAAGCTTTGCCAATCATCAAATAAACAAACATAAGAGCCAACAGAAAAGCGGATAAAGAATGCAATAGCTCAAATAAAAATAAATAGTCCACCAGCACATTAAGAGACTCGTCAGTCAGAAGGAGATACAAGCCCATACAAATGACACATCTTCATTGTTAGATTGGCAAAAAATTAAAACTTGATAGCACCCAGAGTTAATAAGTGTAAAGGGAAATGGGTGTTATCACACTATTACAGTTGGTGGAAGTATAAATAAGTCCAAGAGTTCTGAAGAGCACTTTGGCACGATTAAAACGTGAATGCGCTGCATCTTAAGTTGCAAGATACTCACCAAGGTTCGGGCTCTCCCAGGCTCCTTGTGCCCCTAGCTAGAGCGTTTCCCAGTTGCCCGTCAGTAAGACGTGCTTATGGGCTGGGCTCTAGCCAATGGCAGGACAGTGCACGAGAGGCTGCCCGCGCTTGGGCCGGCTCATTAACACCTCCCAGCTGAAGCCTCAGCGCTCATTTCCCTTCCAGCTGGCTAGAATGGAGGCCGCTCTAGGACAGCCTTAGAAGCTACAGGTTGAAAATGATAGTACTTCCATCCACCACGGGTTCCAAAAAGACTGCAGTACCGGAGGGTCATCCAGCGGATATATTTACCCCCCATCTCCAGGACACATGAGCAAGAAGCAGACCTCCAGGGCGCCTGGGTGGCTCAGTCGGTTAAGCATCTGCCTTCGGCTCAGGTCATGATCCTGGAGTCCTGGGATCGAGCCCCACGTAGGGCTCCCTTCTCAGCGGGGAGTCTGCTTCTCCTCCTGCCCCTCACCCCGCTCGTGTTCTCTCTCTCTCACTCTCTTTGTCTCTCTCTCTCTCAAACAAATAAAATCTTAAAAAAAGAAAGAAAGAAACAGACCTCCATTTGTTGAGCCATTATGTCTATTTGGTCTATTGGTTACAGCAATTACCCTACGCTCACTGATACACGTGCGTGCACTTTAATTCAAGATCTCGCTACTAGGAATTCACCTGAAGTCAGAACATACATATTTGTAGAAATATGGTAACAAGTCAAATGTCCGCAAAAATTGGGAGTGATCAAATCATTTATGGCACCTCCATACCATAGATGACTATGCAGTGTTACAGAGCGTGATAGATCTATAACCACTCAAATGAAAAGATCTATAAACTCTATTGTTAAATGGGGAAAAAAATCAAAACAGAGGGCATAGTGATACGTAAGTGCATACACACATACTGGTATACACATTCTTTTTTTCTGGAAGGAGAGCTGTGATGATTAATTTTATATGTCAGCTTGACTGGGCCGTGGGATGCCCAGGTATCTGATTAAACATTATTTCTGAGTGTGTCTATAAAGGTGTTTCTGGAAATGATTAGCATTTAAATTGGTGGACGAGTGGAATAGATGGCTCTCCCAATGTGGCTGAGCGTCAACCAATCCCCTGAGTATTTGAACGGCACAAAAAGGTGGGAGAAAGCTGACTTTGTTCTTTGCCTGACTGTTGGGCTGGGACATCCATCTTCTCGTGCCCTCACTGTTCTAGTGCTCAGCTCTTCAGACCTAGACTAGAGTACACGTGGGCTCTCTGGTTCCCAGACCCTTAAACCACACCACTGACTTTCCCGGGTCGCCAGCTCACAGACCACAGATCATGAGACTTCTCAGCCTACATAGCTGTGTGAGCCAATACTTCATAATAAATCTCTTTCTGTATCACAAATATCATACACACGCACTCATGCACACGCACGATAAGAAAATGAGAGAACAGAGGCCCCTGCAGGGAGGAACCAGTCCTGACTCCTTCCGTGGTTGTTCAGACAAGGGGTGAAAAGAATGCAAATCCCGAAGAGGAAAGCAGAAGGAATCCCCCCAAAGCCAAAGGACATGTGCTGAGAATCCAAATAAAATCAGCTAGAATTCTAGGGCTGAAAATTTCATTCCTTGAGCAGGATTTGCCAAGGCTTTGCTCTGCCTTCTCGCTCTCCTGATTGCTGTTGAGTCTGCTCATGTAGAAGATATTGTCTGTATTTCCTGTGTATATAATTCTAATCTTAACTTAGATTTATTCCTATGCTTGTGCCTTTTCTAAATTCAAAGAAATGAGGATTGCCACATGGATAAAAATTGAAGGTTCAGTCATGTCCTCTCTTTCCTTCTACTTTTAATCACTTCTCAACACAATCTCTCAAGCCAAGTTCCTGGAAGTCTGGAAATCTGCTCTTGATAACCTGCCCCACTGAAATGCTCTGCCTGCTTGCTACCCGGGCTCTCAACCTCCACCCAAGAAAAGAGATATGAATTAAACAGATAAGACTAAAGACTTCAAACTCTCTATCCTTGAGAACAAGCTCATCAAAAGATACACAGTGCAATGACCAGCTAGCTGTAGGCACTTCACAGCAGCCAAATGGTATTGATTTTATGCTGATTCATTACAATTTCAATTATTTTTCTCGTTTTCTCTGAACTCTCACCTGAGGCGGGAAAAATGAGTCGTGAGAGATTTTTTAAAGTCATTGTAAGCCTCATATTACGTCTTCACCTTAAAATATCAGAATAACTGAGTGGAAAGCACAGCCTGCTATATGTGTGAGGGTAAGGATATGTGATAAAGTCCATACATCAGTCCTGTGGGAGACAGAATTTATGACTGTGACATACACCTGGTTGACGGTTCAAGATTCACTTTTTCACTAAGCAGTCGAAGCAAGCCTGGCATTGCCACACTTCAAATTACTGAAGCAATGACAGTAAATTAATTATTTGGCAATGAGTCCACAAACAAATATGAATTTATCAGGAAAACACATTACACTGGGGATTTTCCAAGTCTGTGTATCACTTTAAATGTAGATGTAACAAGGAAAGGGGGTAGGGGTGGGCAGAAACACACATACACATGCACCTGCACACGTAGATACTTAAGTGATTATTTTCATCTTTTTTTTTAGAAAGAAGCCAAATATAGACAAGGGTCTCATGAGAAATTATGAGAATGATTCTCTAAAACTTTAGACACATTTTATTTTAGGCCCCATGTTACAGCTACCACTGCTTTTTTCCTTTTCTTTCTTCTTTATGTTTTTAAATCATTCACCGTCTTTTCTCCACACGTGTTAAAATCTCTTAGATTATCTGACAGCTTCACTCTAGCCCTGGAAGTGTTTAAGTTTACCAATAAAGATGTCCTGCCTTCAAAGGAAGTTACAGGAGTAATACATATGCAAAGAAAGTGCTGATGGTTTTCCAGGATTCTTTGAGAAAAATCACTCTAAGATTGGAAATGCACTCAGGAGAAGAAAAGGAGGAAAAAACCCTGGAAAACATCTTTAAAAAAAAAATGTCTAGAAAACACTCTTAGCACCAAACCATTGAACTGCTTTGCTCTGATGTATCTCAGGCTTCCTCTGATTATTTATACACCATCAAACACTCTTGTCAATTACCTGTGTCTAAAATGTGGACTCTGACGTTTGAAAGGGTTTTATTAATTGATCCCCGTGGTGCATAATGAGCTTAAAGGGCTTACCTGCGTGTCCCCGGAGGTGCTGGCTCGAGGCGGACATCAGCTTACAGCACACCATTAACACAGAGGCCAGAAAGACCCAATGTGACAGCAACACTGACTTAGAACAAACTCTCATCCTGGAGAGAAAGCAGGACACAAGTCAGTGAGGACTCAGTGAGGTGAGGCTCTGCGGCAGACGCTCAAGCAGGGGCTGGGGAAAACTAGAAGCAAACAGCACGCAAGAGATGCTCAGCGCTGGACTTCTTTCCCCCCAAGGACACTGAAGGCAAATCAAACCTGATTCCCACCGTGCATTAACTCAATTTTCAATGAACGCTTTTTATAATTACGAGTTTTCCAAGTTAGCGACATGCTTCAATGAGAAGTCTATCTATGAAGCTCCATTGTGTCACGTGACTTATCCTCACAGAACATGGGGGTAACATACTATTTTATATCATGAAATTAGAAAGCTACACACTTAGAGCTGGACTCAAATAAAATATACATGGTTTCTACACCTCAAAGAAAACACAGAAATTGTCACACTCAGCCTGAGAGTTTTCTCCTGGTTTCTCTGGCTGTGCATTAATAAATGATTATCAGTCTCAAAGTTTGGTAGGAATATGGGCAAGTATAGGTGAATGTAAAGTAAACTTAACTTCATATGGATGTCAACAGATGAATACATACATAAATACATAAAGAAGATGTGGTATGTATATACGATGGAATATTATTCAACCATGAGAAAAAAGGAAATCCTGTCATTTGCAACAATTCGGGTGGACTCTGAGGGCATTATGCTTAGGGAAATAAGATGGAGAAAGACAAAGACTGTTTGATTCCACTTATATGTGGAATCTGGAAAAGACAAACTCAGAGACACAGAATAGAGTGGTAGTTAGCAAAGGTTGGGAGGTGAGAAAAATGGGGAGATATTGATCAAAAGTGACAAGATTGGGGCACCTGTGTGGCTCAGTTGGTTGAGCGTCTGCCTTTGGCTCAGGTCATGATCCCAGGGTCCTGGGATTGAGCCCCATATCAGGCTCCCTGCTCAGCAGGGAGTCTGCTTCTCCCTCCCCCCTCCTCGTGATCTCTCTCTCTCTCAAGTAAATAAATAAAATCTTTTTAAAAAGGTGACAAGATTAACAAGTTTGGGAATCTAATGTATAGCATGGTGATTATAGCTAATAACACTTTATCATTTACTTGAATGTTGCGAAGAGTAGATCTCAAATGTTCTCACCACAAAAAAAAATGGTAATTATGTGACAGGATGGAGATGGTAGCTAATACTACGGTAGTCATCATTTTGCAATTTATATATGTATCAAATCAGCACATTGAATACCTGAAACATATACAATGTATGTCAATTATATATCAATACAGCTAAGATAAATAAACTTAACTTCATACAGATGGACAGTATCAAAACAGTTGCTCAAAGACAATTCAGTTCACAAATGTGTATGTGTAGTCTACTATTCTCAGAAAAACCTGAAAGAAATTAAATAAAAAGAAAATATCAAAAAAGCATTTTCCGGGGGCGCCTGGGTGGCTCAGTCGTTAAGCATCTGCCTTCGGCTCAGGTCGTGATCCCGGGGTCCTGGGATCGAGCCCCGCATCGGGCTCCCTGCTCCGCGGGAAGCCTGCTTCTCCCTCTCCTGCTCCCCCTGCTTGTGTTCCCTCTCTCGCTATGTCTCTCTCTGTCAAATAAATAAATAAAATCTTTAAAAAAAAAAAAAAGCATTTTCGGGGTGCCTGGGTGGCCCAGTCAGTTAGGCATCCAACTCTTGATTTCAGCTCAGGTCATGAACTCAGGATCATGAGATTGAGCCCTGAGTCGGGCTCCGTGCTCAGGGAAGAGTCTGTTTGAGATACTCTCTCTCTCCCTCTGCTTCTCTTTCTCTCTCTAATAAATAAATAAAATCTTTTTTAAAAGTGCATTCTCCCCTCAATTTTTTTTTTAATTGAAGAATAGTTGACATCTCCACTAATTAGACATTATAGGGAAATTAGATAAAACTAGATTAACTTCTGTTTGCTATTTTTTTTAATTAACTTTTTCAAGCAAAGTGGGACAGAGAGCTTGGCATTTGAAACTCCAGTGGTATTAGGTTCTGCCTGGCACATGCATCGTGCTGTCTATGATATAATTCACCACAATGGGTCAAAGGAACCCCTGTCATAGATATATGTGGATTCCTGTTTGCATCACTAGAGGCAAATCTCCTAAAGTTCTGGAAGAAAGGGTCTCAACCAGAGACGAGCAGCATCTCAACCAGAACCCTGAGTCTGTGCTTGAGGGAAAGCACAGCCTTGGGGACCTAGGACCCAAATCATACTCCAGAGAACAGGTTCTACCCCCACCCTTCGCTTTTGGCCTCTTACAGTTTAGTCAAATAGATCTTGTTGAAAGGTATCATACAGTTCATTGATGTGAGACTCATTGTGCTGTTGAAGCAGTCAGGGCAAGACAAGGTTCTAAGATCGTCTTTGAACAACTAAACGTTAAAGGAGACACAAAGTCTTGGCTTCTCTTTGCCCTTGGCCTTGGAAATCCTGAGCATTCCAACTGACATGGGAACATCAGGTCTCTCTGCTTTAAAGGCCCTGCATGTGCTTTAATTTCTCAAAGCACCACCTTCCGTCTCCCCCACTTCATCTTGTACACATGGGAGATAGACACCCTGGGAGCAGTTCAAAAAGTGGCAAAGAAAATACGTGGGTCTACGTGAGCTTTGGTATGAGTACAGCTGCCCCTTGAATGACACATGTTTGAACTGTGCGAGTTCACTGACACATGGAGTTTCTCCATACATTGCAGTATTATAAATGTATTTTCTTTCTTATGATTTTTTTAAGGATTTATTTATTTGAGGGGGTGGAGCAAAGGGAGAGAGAGTCCCAAGCAGACCCTGTGTTGAGCAGGGAGCTGGACACGGGGCTCGATCCCACAACCCTGCCATCATGACCTGAGCTGAAACCAAGAGTTGAACACTTAACCGACTGCACCACCCAGACATCCCTCTTATGATTTTTTTAAATAGCATTTTCTTTTCTCTAGCTTACTTTATTGTAAGAATACAGTAGGTAATATATATAATATATAAAATATATGTTAACTGACTGTTTATGTTATTGGTAAGAGTTCCAGTCAACAGTAGGCTCTGAGTGGTTACGTTTATGGAGAGTCAAGTGCCCCAACCCTCGTGTTGTTCAAGGATCAACTGCCATTAATTATATTGTCATTTCAGGGAACTGATTATTTATTTACTACTAATTAGGGAAAGCATTAGGGGCGCCTGGGTGGCTCAGTCGTTAAGTGTCTGCCTTCGGCTCAGGTCATGATCCCAGAGTCCTGGGATCAAGCCCCACATCAGGCTCCCTGCTCCACGGGAAGCCTGCTTCTCCCTCTCCCACTCCCCCTACTTGTGTTCCCTCTCTCGCTGTGTCTCTCTCTGTCAAATAAATAAAATCTTTAAAAAAAAAAAAAAAGATAATTAGGGATAGCATGTAGTTTCAAAATTCTGTATTCACTAAATTTGTGGATGAAGTGCTCTGTCCCACCCATAATGTTTTAAAATTCCAGTCGTTGGGCACCTGGGTGGCTCAGTTGGTTAAGCGACTGCCTTTGGCTCAGGTCATGATCCTGGAGTCCCGGGATCGAGTCCCGCATCGGGCTCCCTGCTCGGCGGGGAGTCTGCTTCGTCCTCTGACCCTATCCCCTCTCATGTGTTCTCTCTCTCTCATTCTCTCTCTCTCAAATAAATAAATAAAATCTTTAAAAAAAAATAAATTCCAGTTGTTAACTCCAATATTAGTTATTGATCTCATTGTTATAAAGTTTCTTACCCAAATTTTTACGTTAGCAACTAATTCAGTTTGTTTTATTTTTATTTTTTTTTAAGATTTTATTTATTTATTTGAGAGAGAGAGTGAGAGAGAGAGAGAGAGAGCACAAGAGGGGGGAGCAGGAGAGGGAGAAGCAGACTCCCTGCTGAGCAGGTAGCCCGATGTGGGACTCGATCCCGGGACTCCAGGATCATGACCTGAGCCGAAGGCAGTTGCTTAACCAACTGAGCCACCCAGGCGCCCTGTTTTATTTTTAAAACAGAGTGCAATACTCTGGTTTCTCTTCAGATCGCATAAATCTTTCGCCTTTTACTAAAACAGAGTGCAGGGGCGCCTGGGTGGCTCAGTCGGTTAAGCGTCTGCCTTCGGTTCGGGTCATGATCCCAGGGTCCTGGGATCGAGCCCCACATCAGGCTCCCTGCTCAGTGGGGAGTCTGCTTCTCCCTTTCCCTCTGCCCCTGCCTCTGCTCTCTTTGTCTCTCTCTCTCAAATAAATAAAATCTTAAAAAAAAAAATTCCAAAAAAAAAAAAAAAAAAACAGTGCAAAATAGACCAAGTAAAATACATCTGCAGGCTGGATAAGGCACCTTGGCTTCCAATTTGCAGCAATTAGCGGCCCCAAAAGGGAGAATTTTAAGGAATCAGATAAATGGGGTACTAATTTCTATTTTGACATAACAAATAAACTGCCAAACTCAGAAGTTAAAACAATATGGACATGGTTTCCATAGTTTCTCATAGTTTCCTTAAGTCAGAGTCTGGCACATTCTAGCCAGGTCCTCTGCTCAGGGACTCACAGGACTGAAATAAAAATGTCATCTGGGTGTGTCCTCATCTGGAGGTTCAACTGGGGAAATAATGACTTCTAACCACCTACATGCTGTTGACAAAATCCATTTCCATAGGCCCATATAATTGAGGTCCCTGTGTTCTTGCTATCAGCCAGGACCTGCTCTCAGCTCTGAGATGTGGCATCCTGAACTTGGCCACATATGTGGACCCTCTTCAGGCTGCTTCAGTCCAAATCTCCTCTATCAGGAAAAGTGTAGTCCTTTGCTACGGCTCACCAAGTCAAGTCAGTCCTATCCAAGATAATCTACCTTCTGATTAATTCAACATCAATTTATTTGAGACCGTAATTACAATGAGAAAATCCCTTCATCTTTGTCATATAACCATAACTTAACCACAGGAGTGAACCCCATCATATTCACAAACCTGCCCACAGTCAAGGGAAGGAAATAACCCAGATTGTACACACAGAAGGGTACAAATCTTAGGAGCCATCTTAGAACTCTGTCTACCAAAAATGGGCAAACAATCCTAATCACAAAAATTTATCCATATATGTGGTTTACAAAGGTCCAACTAGGTATTCAATCTAACTGATTTAAGTGATTAATCACACACGTTAATCTCAAGATTTATATCACTGAAAATGGACTCTGATGAAAACATTACCCAAAGGGAATGTGCTCTCCCTCACTGTCCTTTCCTTCAGCTGTCACTCCCCAGTGCTGCCAAATTGACCTGCAGACCAGCATCTTCCCTGCCCAGTCCGGGTATACACCATCCATTCTCCAAGATGTGAGCAACGTTGCTGAGAACCTCGAGTACACGTTGCTCTCTCTCCTTGTTAATAAACCTATCAGACTCAATCTGGTTCTGAAACCCACCTTCTTGTTCTTAATCCAATTTCCAGATGCCCAGATCCCTATTGGCTTCTTAATTATTTACCCTCCACTGAGTATCATTAAATACTTTTCTTCTGCTTAGTGGGTTGGCTTCCTTGCCTCTAACCATAAAGTCCCACCCAATTTAGTCTCCAAATTCAGACTAGGTCTTTCAGGTGATCTATAATCTCTCCTACCTAATGTACCACTGAAATTCAGTTTCCATCTGTTTATCAGTCCCTATATCACCTAAACTTGTCTGGAAGGGTTTTAACAAATTGGAGAGTATATTTGAGATGATCTGAGTCCCAAGGTTGGGAATTGGTGAGCAGGAGGTTAATCAAGGGGTAGTCCAGGGATATCACCTATGGAAGGGGAAGGCAAGGGAGGGAAGAAGGCAGGAGAGGAGGAGGAAAAGGCCTCAGACAACCCAGTGGAGAGTTCCAAAGCTGAAATGCCCCTTCTCAGTGGTCCCAAGCTGGGGTGAGGGGCCAAGGCTTTATACTTCCATGTTGACCCATCACTGGATATGAGCTGCCCTTAAAAAGATGGGTAATTTTAGGCAAGGGACTCTTTGAATTGAGAATAATTCAAAGAAGTTGTAGGCCATCTTCTTCAGTTGGGTGTGTCCTCATTCCTAAAGGGGGGAATAAGCCTTCATTCCAAAAGGGGGCTCTGGACAGTGAGGGAATAAATCCTTCTGCATCACAGCGTCTACTACTATCCATCTTCAAATAGAAGATGGCATATGCAATATGCATAATTTACTTTCTGAGGCTGTGGAGTCATCCTCAAGAGAAGACCCATCCTGAGGTATAAAAGGCCATGCCATGCCCATTAAAATGTCATAGGAAGAGGTTTCATATAGGAAGCCCATCCCCTCCTGGGCCTGTTTTGCCCTCGGATCCATTCTTTTCCCTTCCCCTAGGTCACTCTCATTGGCTGCATTTTCCAGGCCCCTGAATCAGCTGGATTTAACCAATAGGAGACAGTAGCTAGAGCCTGGAGGGTGGAAGAAAAAGGATAGGGGTATTTCTTCCTACCTTCTCCGTCTTGGGCAGGATCTATGGAGTGGCCATCTCTCCTGCATGGTGCCAGTTCCTGCCAGAAGACCCACTCTGGTTCTAGCTCTCACTGAGGGTCCCTTCCCCTAGGTGCTGGCAAACACTACTTCCTTCATCTGTCCGACCAGCCCTGGGGACGGTGGTAGCTTCCTCTCGTTCCTTACCTCTGGGCTGCTTCCATGTCTTCTGCTTGACTTCTCTGACTCTCCCTTTACATACATTCCCTGAATTCAATTCCTTATGTCCCACATTATCAGAATGGTCTGTTTTCCTGGTTGGATCCCAACAACAAACCCCAAATCTGAAGTCTCAAGGACAGCCATTCCAACCTGAGGAGTTGATCCCTGATCCATCTTCGTACATAGACAATTCTATGTACCAGGTTCCTGGGTGAAGCTTCCACTGCCTAGGGCAGGTATTTACTTTACAATAGCTATCACTGTCTGGAGAAATGCCAGGGAACGAGTGGACAGCTATTCAGCAATCATTCTTTATTGTGGCCAATAATCCAGACCCCCAAAGGACTTCTGACCTACCACATCTACCATAATACCTCAACTTCAATTGCTTCCCCCTTGAACATTTTGTTCAAACGTAAAACAAAATTGGTTTATCTTTAAATCTCACCTTTCACCCTACCAGATAGTCAAAATGCTGCTTTACAAATGGAAATGATTTCCAAAATGAGAACTAAAACTTGAAAAACTAAGATTCCCAAAATACTCAAAATTTCAATGTAAAAAGACACCTTTTATAAAGGATCATCAACTCTAGGATTCTCCATTTTGCTAAATTCTCAATGCTTCATGAAGAAACCATCTCTAGGTGTCTCTTAAAATCATTTTACCTTGGTGACTTCATAAGATTTGGTTCCAGTCAAGCACAATTATTTCAGGATGGATTTCAAAGCAACTCCAAATTCCCATTTGTAGCAAGGGCCAACAATTTCTGCAGTTCCAAAAAATTATCTTAGCTTGGAAAAACCTATTTAAGAAACAACAAGGACAGGAAGTCATTAGCATGTTAATGTTGAAATCAAACAGATTTCCAGTAGCAGAATAATGGGTTTTTTTTACCATGAAACCTGCAGTTTCAGGACAGTGGTAGGCAACCAGATGCATCCACATTTGTAAGGAGTCCTAATATAGGAGGGAGAAAAGCCACAGAATCCAGTACTCATTAACTCATCACAGATTAGTTAACAGAATACAATTTTAAAGTAGAACTTATCTCAGCAGCAAAGGCATTCCAAACTTGATAGAGGATCCCCAACCTTCATGATGCAAAATTTCATTCTCCCCATGTCATTAACAATGGGATGAAAACGGAAATGGAGATGGTCCATTCCCAAGAATTCTGCAACTTGCCCAAGTTCACACAGCAGTGGAAAAGCCAGCATGAAGATCTGAATTCCTATATTTGTGAGACATAAACCTGCAGATGTTGCTAAACAATCTGTGAGGATCTTTTCTGAAAAATGTTTTTGGGAGGAAGAGAGAAAACGTCTATCCAATAGAAAACATCACACCAACATACAAAGAATGCTTGTTAATACCATAATTGACATTCAACACACTCCTTTAATGCACAGACCTAAAAGGACTTTTCTACTCAGCGAAAACATTTTTGCAAGAAGGATTCAGATGTTTCCAAACCAAAGACATCTCAAGAGAAAAAAAACAGACCATGAAACGACACCGTTTTTAACACTGCTATGTTAAAAACATCCCTCCCAGTGGTGGAGAGCGGGGAAAAATAATGATGCGCATCGGTAAATATTAAAGTTGCAAATATGAGATAAAAATGATCCTGTGACACAGTCTAGTTACTTTAGAATCCCGTTGAACCCATTACAAATCTGCCACAAAGCACAACTGAGATTTTTCTCTTCTTTAGATATCTTCCCCTGAAGATAACTACACAAGTTTGCCCAGAGAATACTGTAGGTGATGGACTTGCAGACCCACCCCTTTGGGGCCAAAGGAAAAAGAGTAAGCTTTGAGTGAGTAGCTCAAGAGGGAGTGGTTTGAATAACTGTACAAATACAAGGTACTCAGGGGAAAAAATAAAACACTGGAAAATGTTCATCTCCCACTTCCTCCAACTTTGTTAAGTATGTTTGTCCTGATGTCCACCCAAGGGCACAGTGTGACCTTCTGTTATCAGAAAGAAATACACAGTATAATTTATCAGGATCCATCATAATGAACTTCCCACATATTGGAAACCAAAATGACCTTTCCTAGCTAATATTTATCTTGTTTTCTTCACACAAAAGGAACCACTGGGGATTCTTTTTTCAATTCATTAAAAAATGGATCCATCAGTGGAAAGAAATGTGATCTAATAGTTTGTATGCCAGACAAGGAGCCAGGAGTTTAATTTTAGGCTGAGCAGTAACTCATTTGGTCAGATTTTCCCAGGGCATACCCTAAGCACTGGCTTAAAAGGATTAACTCTTTCTTGTCACTTCTGAACTTGAGTGCATTCAAGACCATCAGTAATTCTGTGCATGGCACCAAAAGCATTTGCTTCCAGTCATTTCATTTCTGTCTCTTTTGTTTCCCAGCCATAGCACAGTGATTTCTATCCATGTGCTTCCATACTCATTTGTTTTTAATTTTTCATGATGAAAGACACCATCCATATCTAGACTTAAGAAAAAATGTTTTCTGGGGTACCTGGGTGGTTCAGTCAGTTAAGCGTCTGACTCTTGATTTTGGCTCAAATCTCGATCTTGGGGTCGTGAGATCAAGCCCCACATGGGGCTCCACACTGGGCATGGATCCTGCTTAAGACTCTCTCTCTCGGGGCGCCTGGGTGGCTCAGTTGGTTGAGCGACTGCCTTCGGCTCAGGTCATGATCCTGGAGTCCCTGGATCGGGTCCCGCATCGGGCTCCCTGCTCGGCGGGGAGTCTGCTTCTCCCTCTGACCCTCCCCCCTCTCATGTACTCGCTCGCTCTCATTCTCTCTCTCTCAAATAAATAAATAAAATCTTAAAAAAAAAATAAGATTCTCTCTCTCCCTCTCCTTCTGCCCCTCCCACCACCCCCACCCCCACTCATGCTCTCTCTCTCAAAAAAATACAAATGTTTTCACATGTCCAGTCATTCTCAGAATGAACTTCAAAGACTCAGCATTTAGAGGCCAGGCTACATTTTTCATCTTTCCCCTGATGTGTTGGCACTGTATAGGGACAGTCACTCTTTTCCAACAAAAGAGCAGAATGCCTGGTTATGTTTCCTGGTACCAAGAAACTTGGAGGTTCCCAGCCAGAGGAGACCATTCTTGTGATGTTTAATTTATTTCCATTGCACATAGGAAAGAATTCTGCCTACACTTGATTTTTTTATCAAGGAAATAGTGAGGTCTTACCTCTCTTTTCTCTTGATCTCTTTGTCCTCACCATTAGTAGGCTGAATTCCCTAAGGGGATTATTCTTTTGGAATATAGTCATTTACTTGTAGATAAGCACCCTCGGAATATCTTTGTTGGTTTTGCTACACCCACGTCACTGCACACATGTCAATCAGCAAAGCATCAAGCTCCTCATCTTTCCAGTCTAAAAATTTACAGGGATGAAATATCACAGTTCCTTTTAGAATTAGAAGACACAACGACCTTAAAGCTAGATCTAATCAGGACGAAAAATCAGACTAACTCAAATTTGAGGGACATTCTAAAACGTAATTGCTTTTGAAAGTGTCAAGGTCATGAAAGACCAAAAAAAAAAAAAAAAAAAACCTCTAAGGAATGGTTTCAATAAAGGAGAGACACATGGCAACGAAATGCAATTGTGATCATACACTGGATCTTGGGACCAGAAAAAAATACAACACACACAGTTTTCCTCAGAATAAACTGCATACACACATATATACATTCACACAAACATACACACATACACATACACACACACAGCTCTAAAGGACATTATTGGGACAACTAATAATTTCTAAATATAGTCTGCAGAATAAATTACAGTGTTGTATCAACATTAAGTTTCCTGACTTTGATCATAATGTAGATAAGAAAGAGAATGTCCTTATTACTAAAAAATACACCCTAAAATATATATTTTTAAAGATTTTATTTATTTATTTGACAGAGAGAGACACAGTGAGAGAGGGAACACAAGCAGGGGCAGTGGGAGAGGGAGAAGCAGGCTTCCCGCGGAGCAGGGAGCCCGATGTGGGGCTCGATCCCAGGACCCAGGCCGAAGGCAGACGCTTAACGACTGAGCCACCCAGGCGCCCCCACCCTAAAATATTTAAGAATAAGGAAACAAAGGCTTCCACCTTATTTTCAAATGATTCTGAGGGGGAAAAAATGGAGAGAAAGGAGGGAAGGGGAAAAGAAGGGAGGAAGAAAAGAGTGAATGACTGAATTAAAAACCAAATGAGCATAATGTGAGTAACTGGTGCATCTGGGTAAAGGGCTTATGGGAGTTCTTTATACCATTCTTTCAACTTTTCATGAAGTCAGAAATTGTGTCAAATAAGACATTAAATAACTAATTAGTAGCCTTCAATTCAAAAGATATACACAAATTATTTAGAATGTGTTACCAGTCCTAAACAATGAGGAGAGTTGATAGTTGGAATGTTCCGGTTAATTAAATTCTGTGAGCATTCACCCAAGCTTATTTGTTGTTTGTTTGTTTGTTTGTTGTGTTTGGTTTTTTTTTTTTTAAGATTTTATTTATTTATTGAGAGAGAGCATGAGCAGAGGGGAAGAATAAAGGGAGAGGGAGAAGTAGACTCCCCACTGAGCAGAGAGCCCAATGCAGGACTCGATCCCAGGACCCTAGGATCATGACCTGAGCCAAAGGCATACGCTTAACCAACTGAGCCACTCAGGTGTCCCCCAGGCTTATTTTGTATTAATTTAAAAACCACTCACGTAGCACCAGGCCCTCTCTTAAGCACTTTAAAATATTAGTTCACTAACAGTAGGATTTACTTATATCCTGATATACAGATGAGGAGAGTAGGGCATAGAGAGAATAAGGGACTTGCCCAAGGTCACTCAGCTAGCAAGCAGCTACGCCAGGATTCAAACTCAAGCCATCTGACACCAAGGCACCTACTGTTTCAGTTCCTGCACAATTATTCCCAAAAAGTATTAGTCCCTCTTCATGCTTTAGTAAATAGACTGAAAATAAATCTATCTTTGGGAATTCAAGACATTGATCAGCATCCTAAAGATGAGAATTCTGTTTACGGAAAAATTCGTAGAGGCACTTGGAGTGAATCTGAAAGCAGAGCAGAGCTTGGAGCCAAGGAGGTATTTTATTAACCCCTAAATAAGTTTTGCTTCATCTCTGCAAACCTGGTGAAAAACAGTGATTCAGAATGGCTGCAGGGTTCTGATTTGCTGCAGATTTATTAAAGACTTGTGTCATTTTCCAAATTAAGACCAAACATGCAAGAATTCTACTAAAGTCCTTGAGTGCTTAAGCTGCCATTTTTCAAACAGATGGGAAACAACCACACTTCCTATCAGAACGCCTCTAAAACATTTCAGAGAAAACCCACCAGAACCAAAACATCACACACAAAGGCTAAATTACTTCTGTTGATTTCGATGAAAGAATTCAGCACCGAAACACAACAAAAGTGGATCTTTGTCCATGCATCCACTCAGACTCATTTCCTGACAAACTCCAGGAGGAAAGCATTTCTACAAACATACAACACGGCAGATTCTCCCTTGATCACAAAGCAAAGGGTCCCTGCACTGCTTAACCCCTGTCCTTTCCTGCCCGCCCACTAGCAGGGGAGAGTTCCAGGTTCTACCCTGCACCACCTCCAGAGTGGGTACATTTGAATAATTAGTTATTTCCAGATTCACCATCAGTCCAACTGACCTCCCACAGTGGGATCTACTGGGATGGCCTGGTGACTCCAGTTCTCAGCCCCCCAGGTACCAGGGTGCAAGGTGGAAAAATTCTTCCAGCTACTGATAGAAGATGTGACACACTTAAAAGTTTGGACATTGTGGTAAATCACTTTACCACATTAATTTCTACTCAGTCAAGACAGAAGAAGATTTACAGAAGGTAAATCACTTTACCACATTAATTTCTACTGAATCAAGACATAGGTGAGAAATGTATCCTGAATTAGCAACCTGGGTTTGGGGGAGTTAAAAAAAAAAGGGAGGGGGGTTATGAGTGGAAACCAGATTAAAAGATGATCCCCCTCGGTGATGTCTTGTCTGATAAACAACGGAAATCTGGAAATAGAAGCTGCCTACATAAAATAATTCACCATTTCTTCAGGCAGAAATGAGGAAAGATGTTTCCATTTCCAGGTGCTTAAATAAAAAAACCACATTGAATTGTCTCCTGGAAATCTTCAAACAGCTTTTCCACAAAAATATGTAAAACCACACGTAACCCCTCTCTTGACAAATTTATTCTGAAACCAGTATTAATGAGCTTCTTCCATTTAAGAGTGGGCTGATGAAGGTAAATGTATTTAATAGGTTATCGACGCTTATGTGAATATATTTCAAACACTAATGCCTGGTTGATGTCTCGCTGGGTTATCGTTTATAATTATCACATGACGCATGGAATTACTTTGTAATTTAGAGTATGTTCACCATCATATGTGAAAGCGGGCACGTTTTGCTGCCAAAAATGTGGTATATGCATGTCATAAATTGCTTTTTTATTGCTTGCTTAAAAACATCTATGAAGAATTTACTACTGAGCCATTTTACAACATATGAAAGCAAGTTGTAAATGAGCCATTATAGACAATAACTGTGTCTATTAAATATTAAAGAATTTTATAAATGGCATTTTAATTTCAAGTGTTACCAGTACCATCTCATCTACATTAGGTGGTAGGGAGTTCTTTAAAAAGGCTCTTCCAGTTGGAGATGATTTAAATAAATTAAACAGACATGCTGTGTTTTTATAAGGTTCACACTGTCATTTTAAGAACTGAGAAATTCCTTAAAACCACACAGCATCTTTATTTAAGTGCTGTGACACAATCCTTTCTAGTGGAATTATGGGCAAACGGTGCATTTTGTTAATGAAGAAAAACTCCAGCCTTCCAGTGACCATGAAAAGTACACAAGCAATCGTCACTAAGTGATAATGGTTCATTGAGAGCCTGTATACATAAAACAGACAAAACAAACTGGCAAGTTACATGAAATAAGATGCACTTACCAAATTCAGGGACACCCAGCATGACTCCACAGCTTGTTGTCCAAGTGAAATCGCCCAGGTCTGGGGCTGAACAAATGTGAACGGTAATGACAATTTAGCCATAAATCTCTCAAGGCCCAATTATCCTTCCTGCAGAGAGGGTTTATTTCTTTTAATTAGCCCAGTTTTTAATTGGAAATTTTCCTCTCATTTCTCATTTTTCAAATAATCAAAACAGAGTGTGCAAGGATTTTAACATAATAAATAACCAACATAAGAATATTTTAAAGGCTGCCCACAAGTTGCCATGCACTTGAATTTTTACCTAAAAAGTTTTTATGTGATGTGATCGAACTTCTACATAAAGAATATTAATAAAGTAAGTTGTATGTGAATATCAGTAACATCGCTTCTACTACTTTAATCATTTCGATCTTAGCTGGAGGATGGGGGGGGCAGGGTCGGGATCTGTTCACTTACATCCAGAATCTAAACCTCTTGATGGAAAGAATGATATCTTATTTCTCCTCCACCGTCATCTCTAACATAACGCCCTGCACATCAGGGGTGTTAAATATGCTTGGTTAAATAAATGAGTAAATGTAAGTCTTTTGTTTCAATCCCAAATGAATGGTCACTTCATTTCTATAGCCCTAAATTCCTCACCTGTAAACTAATATAGTTCAATTAGAAGACCAGCAAGGTGCCTTTAGGTGTAATGACTCACAGAGCATTTTAGGAAAAACACAGTTTGATTCAGCTATCGGTAACATACAGCTCATGGACATATATACACAGCAAATTCAGCTGTGACAGGATTGCATAGCAAGGTAACACCCACTGCAGACAATATTGGCCATTTTAATCTATTTGTGGAATAAATGCTTCTTAAGAGCTTAATCTAAACCTTTATTAAATTTCAATCTGAAAATCATCTTTTGTTTGGCAACAGTGCCCTCCTGTGGCCAAAAAAGGAAGTCTTTTGACAGTGCTAACATTAACTGATCTAGGTTTTTGTTAGAGAAGTGTGTTTTAATTTTTTAATAAAGCCATATTTATAAACAGGATATAAGCTATCCTTAAATAAACATAAGATATCAAATAATTTAGATAACCATGTCACACTAAATGACATCACAAAAACAGTTAAAATATATCAACAACTTCTAAATGAAATGGTAATTATTATATGGAATACTACAATAGAATAAACACCAGACCATACTGGGATTTAGTATTTGTTGCTTCTCCCTGTTACTTCTACAACACAAGTCAATGTTACAATCTATCAAAGGTCCCCAGGCTATTTAAAGATGCTCGGGGCTCCTGGGTGGCTCTGTCGTTGAGCATCTGTCTTCGGCTCAGGTCATGATCCCGGGGTCCTGGGATCAAGCCCCACATCGGGCTCCCTGCTCTGTGGGAAGCCTGCTTCTCCCTCTCCCACTCCCCCTGCTTGTGTTTCCTCTTGCTGTGTCTGTCTCTGTCAAATAAATAAATAAAATCTTTAAAAAATAAATAAATAAAGATGCTCAAAATACCCAGCCTGTATATACTAAAAGCCTAGTAGGTACTGCTTTACACCAGTATGTACTGGGGGGGAATAAAGAATAGGACTAATTCCTGTCCATCCAGAAGTGATCATCTAATTGGAAAAGACAAACATACATAGGGCAACCAAGAGCGTAGGTCATTGATATTTGGTATTGTCTTTCAGAATATAATAATAAATATAAAGACTAACAATGTCAAGAAAAGTAAAATCGGGGAGGAATTCTGTAATCCAGGAAGGCTTTCTACAAGAGGCAACAATACAGACAGCAGAAGGAATAAAGGAACATTTGGAGAACAGAGTAAAGAGGTGTTTGGGGGGTTTTAAATTTGGGGTTTTGTTTTTTGTTGTTGACGGAGGAAGGTCTGTATGCATGTGTGGTTTTGTTTGGCTTTGCTCTGATCTGAGATGGTGAAGGAGGGGAAAAGGCCACTAAAGGAAACCACAGAACTCAGGGAAAGGGGGAAAGGAGCGGAGGCAGGTAAAAGGACTGACCCTATGTGGAAGTCCTACAGAAGAGCTGGACACCATCTTCTCTGTTGTCTTCATGTTCGTGGGTCACCTCTGCGGGATTCCTTCAACAAGTATTTTTTTATCAACTCTCCTGCACCAGACCCTGTGTTGGGTGCTGTGCGCAGAGGATGGATAAGGTCCTGGGAGTCCTGGAGTTTGTGTTCCGGCACGGGGAGACGGGCAGACAGGTAAACGAGCGTGAATAAGAGAACTGTGGGTTGAGATAAGTGTAACCAAGAAAACGAAAGTGAAGAGTGTAAGAGAGACTGGTTGGCCTTGGAGGACGAGAAGCTACCTGGACTGAGTGTTCAGGGAGGGCCTGTCTGAGAAGGTGATTCTGACATAATGGTGAATGACAAAATGTGGACTTCCGGGGGAAAAAGATCCCAGGGAGAGAAACAGCATGGGCCTGCAGGAACCACAGGCCAAACTAAGCCTGGTATAGTCAGGAGCAGAGAGGCAGTCAGAGTGGAGCTAGGGGAGTGAGGGGTATGAGATGATATCAGAGAGATCCCAGGGGCAGAGGACGAGAGAGCTTGCAAATCATAGAGGGGAGGTGGGATTTGATTCCACATGTGCTGTGAGAGTTTTAAACAGGACAGAAGTTGAAGATGGGTTAGGTTTCAAAAGTGCCCTCCAGGGCACCTGGCTCAGTCGGTTAAGCATCTGCCTTCGGCTCAGGTTGTGATCCCAGGGTCCTTGGATGGAGCCCCACATCGGGCTCCCTGCTCTGCAGGAAGCCTGCTTCTCCCTCTCCCTCTGCCTGCCACTGCCCCTGCTTGTGCTCTCTCTCTCTCTGTCAAATAAATAAATAACATCTTTTAAAAAAAAAGTGCCCTCCAGCTGCTAGATGGAGAATGCACTCTGAGGAGCAGATGCTGAGACTACTGCAGCAGTCCAAGCAAGACATGGTGATGGTTTAAAGCAGGATGGGGACAAAAGAGCCAAAGAAAAACTCATGTTCCAAAGCCTAAAATAATGCTTGCATACAACAGGTTCCTAATAAATGTTGGTGAATGAATGAGCGAGTGCCTAATCAAGAGAGTAGGTAAAACTCCCCTTTTCCCTTCATTAATCCTCTCTAGGGCTGGCGTCTATATTACCAGTGAGTTCAACAAAATTACTAACTGCCTTATCTATGCCCTCAAGAGAAGAAAAACTAGCAAAACATTTTATCAGCTGCTTGTTTCGTGCACACTAAGGTCTCAACCTAGTAGTGTAAGAGGATGAATTTGGATTTGAAGCTAATGTAACATTGTGTGACAAGTACACTACAATTAACAAAGAGAGAGAGACAGAATGAATTTAGCCAGCTATCACTAAAGCAGAGCACCAGTGAGGTCAGACTGCTTTAAGATCTCCTCTTACATACATTACTGGGTTATCTCTGACACTCAGTGTGGAGGCAAACTAATGAACCAACTTGCAAGGTCCAAGCCTCAGGTCCGGGCTCCAACTTTTTTTGTTACAGGCTTTGCACATCCTAACATCAATTATATTTCACTCTTCACTTTAGCTACTAGGAAGCTCAGAGCCAGATTTATCATCTACCTTCAGCAAGTGAATAGAACTTTTCACCATGCATTTTATATACTAAATTTATACTTAGTTTGTTCTACGTTCCCTCTATCTTTCATTTCACTAAATACTTTTAAAGGCTTTCTCAAGTCTGTTTTGATGGGGACAGACACAAATACATGAATATATGAACAAGACAACATTATCTAATATTCTTTAACGGATTCAAAGTTCAATTTTTCCTATCTCTTCATCCACTTCCCTTTTGTCTACCCATTCGACTTGCCTTACCAAAAGTCAAAATTCCCACCTTGACATGGCCACCTAAGGGTAAAAGCATTATCTCCAAATCATAAAATGAAAAATGTCACCGAGACTATACAACACAGGAATTAATAGGCAGTGAATCAGGTTGGGATTCACAGATGGGTTTCCTGGTAGGTAACAGGGTGGGAGGGAATGGGTCCAAGGACCGGGAGGGTTTGGTTTCTGTGAGGAACAAAGTCTGTTGCATACAACATAGGGAAGCAAGCGGTGAGGGGACCAGGGAGAAGACAAAGGACAAAGGGATTGGATGGGAAGGGAGTCCAAGGACACATGTTTTACAGCTTTAACAGAGCTCAGTCCTGGCTCACGGTGATTCAAACCAGACATGTCGTCTGAAATTAAGATCCTGATGATATGTGTGATCCCAGAATCCAGAAAAATGTTCATGGGCCCTAGGAAACAGTGGAAAGCCACACCTGATGGTTTTAGATTTTAAGTCAAAAGAAGAGAATCAAAGAATCTGATAGCATGGTAATACTTTAACAGATGGGTACTCAGGGTCCAACACTGGACCCCTCAGTTCACTTCTCATCTCATTTAATCCTCGAAATAATCTGATAAGGCAATTCCATTTTATTTTGTTGTCAATCTTTATTTAACAAGGGAGAAAGTAAGTCATTCCGCTCACTCACCCAATAGCACAAAACAAGTAAGAGGTGGACTCAGGATTCCAAATTGGGCTGAGAGATTCCACCCTCTGGGAAGAAAGGGGAGTTTAAAATAGAAAAAAAAAAAAAAAGCCTGGAAAACCCAGAGAGGGGGCTGGAGATAGTACGTGCTTGGTCAAGACTGAAGACTGGGGTTTGTGCAACACAGAAAATCCCACTCAGAACGTCTCACAGTCTGGAGACGGGGTTGTTGAGAAGGACAGAGTCTTCCTAACAACTGGCCACAGTTGAAGAAGGATGACATCGCATAAATTCCAGCCACATATCTACTTTTTCCTGCATAAACATTATAAGATATATCAAATATTTCCAATGAAAAACTGCCCTCTGAGTTGAGATAGGCTCTAAGTGTAAAAACCACATCGGATCTGAAAGACTTAGTACAAAAGAAAGAACCACCTCATTAATAATTGCAAATATTAATTGCACTTTGAAATGACAGAAGTTTAGATAGGGGGTTAAATAAAATTTTGAAAGTGAAAAACAAGATCCAGGCTTATCGGTGTAACTGC